AAACACACACACAGTCTACTTACACACACACACACACACACACACACATACACACACACACACACACACACACACGCATGCGCGAACAGCAATGCTTGTAATTTTGTCTGTGCTTCAATGTAACAAAGCAAATCAAAATTCTGAAAATTACTGTTACATAAATACCTGAGTCTTACTTCCATCAATACCTGAGTATCAGTTGCATTAGCTACAACCTGAGCCTTCGTTCCTCAAGCACCTGAGTATTAGTTACATCCTGAACACTGGCTTCATAAATATGTGAGCCTCGAATAAATGAATATTCGTATTAGTAGTATAAGTATCATGTTGTGCACAAAGTACACAAATATCTGAAAATTATTCATATTAATAAATATTACTTTAATCCAATTTTCACTTATATGAGTCTTAGTGACATGACTACTTGAGTATTAGTGACATGAATATCTGAATCTTTGTTTACCACTCTGCCCGGTCTAAGTGCAGAGTTTAGCTTTTGTTACCGTGACAACAGAGGGAGTGCTAAGATTATGCAAAATCTAGAAAATAGCAACAAAAATCAAGCGCCCGTGAAGATGTGTATCAGCCGGACAACATATTTGCCGCACTACAACCCATGTGAAATTTAACACGGCAACACAAGAGAGGACATTCCCTTTCCGCCTGCAAGTGGGCTGCCCCCTGTTGGCGTGGAGACCTCGCAAAAGTGCACTTTTGTTGTCTCACACAAGCTGAGTGTTTCCCTTCCCCTTGCCATCATGTGTCTAAATAACATGAATTCATGCGCGTCCTCGAGAACAGGTTATGATACTCATATTTAGAATCATGCCAGTGTGTTGACGCTGATGCGCCCGCACACATCTACAAACATACACGCTCACACATGCTCTGGTACTCACTTATACAAGTGCAATGCACACACTATAAATATTGGATGCACATATCAATGCACAGATACCACAACGTGAATTCTATGTACGAACATGTAGTCACACACACACACACACACACACACACACACACACACACACACACACACACACACACATACACACACACACACACACACACGCATGCGCGAACAGCAATGCTTGTAATTTTGTCTGTGCTTCAATGTAACAAAGCAAATCAAAATTCTGAAAATTACTGTTACATAAATACCTGAGTCTTACTTCCATCAATACCTGAGTATCAGTTGCATTAGCTACAACCTGAGCCTTCGTTCCTCAAGCACCTGAGTATTAGTTACACACACACACACACACACACGCATGCGCGAACAGCAATGCTTGTAATTTTGTCTGTGCTTCAATGTAACAAAGCAAATCAAAATTCTGAAAATTACTGTTACATAAATACCTGAGTCTTACTTCCATCAATACCTGAGTATCAGTTGCATTAGCTACAACCTGAGCCTTCGTTCCTCAAGCACCTGAGTATTAGTTACATCCTGAACACTGGCTTCATAAATATGTGAGCCTCGAATAAATGAATATTCGTATTAGTAGTATAAGTATCATGTTGTGCACAAAGTACACAAATATCTGAAAATTATTCATATTAATAAATATTACTTTAATCCAATTTTCACTTATATGAGTCTTAGTGACATGACTACTTGAGTATTAGTGACATGAATATCTGAATCTTTGTTTACCACTCTGCCCGGTCTAAGTGCAGAGTTTAGCTTTTGTTACCGTGACAACAGAGGGAGTGCTAAGATTATGCAAAATCTAGAAAATAGCAACAAAAATCAAGCGCCCGTGAAGATGTGTATCAGCCGGACAACATATTTGCCGCACTACAACCCATGTGAAATTTAACACGGCAACACAAGAGAGGACATTCCCTTTCCGCCTGCAAGTGGGCTGCCCCCTGTTGGCGTGGAGACCTCGCAAAAGTGCACTTTTGTTGTCTCACACAAGCTGAGTGTTTCCCTTCCCCTTGCCATCATGTGTCTAAATAACATGAATTCATGCGCGTCCTCGAGAACAGGTTATGATACTCATATTTAGAATCATGCCAGTGTGTTGACGCTGATGCGCCCGCACACATCTACAAACATACACGCTCACACATGCTCTGGTACTCACTTATACAAGTGCAATGCACACACTATAAATATTGGATGCACATATCAATGCACAGATACCACAACGTGAATTCTATGTACGAACATGTAGTCACACACACACACACACACACACACACACACACACACACACACACACACACACACACACACACACACACACACACACACGCAAAAGTATCCGTATATGTACGTACCTGCGTGTGTGTGTGTGTGTGTGTGTGTGTGCGCAGGTTGGTATGTTGAGCTGACATGAATATTTCAAGGAGCGCTTTTAAGCCGCTCTGCTTTCACTAGGCAGCCCACAAAGCACAGAATGATGATTTCGATATCGATGATTTGACAATGTGAATAATCGTGATTGAAAACCACGAGGGGATCCACTGGTGAGTGGTGCACGTGCACTTCGGGCTCGCCGGCCTCACTCTGGTCTGACGTGAAGGTCTGGAGCCACGGCTGGCTGAAGGTTAAATGGGGATTGTTTTCCCAAGATGCACTGCTCCAGTGGTGTCAATTACCCAGCTCGGAATGATTCATGATGGCCGCAGTGCAAACGCGGCGTGGAGAAAAAGGACGCACTGACGGGTGGACAGACGGACAGAGAAAGAGGACCAAAGACAGCTGGGACTGTTCCTCTACCGAACACTTATTTTCACTTCCTCATCCTTTCTTCTTCAACATTCTCTTCCTCGTCATAGTCTTCCTCGTCATCAACTTCTCCTCCCCTGCCTCTTCTTTCCTCACCGCCCTACTTACTTTCCTCCATCTTCGTCATTGTACTCTTCCTCTTCGCATCTCCCGTGTGACCCTTTTGTTCCTCAAACCTCTCATACTCTCCTCATCCTCACCCCGTTGTACCCTTCTTCTTCATCACTCCATTCCATCCAATGAGAAGTCATTATCCTTTTCTTCACAAGCTCTACTCTTTATACCTTCTTCAAAACATGCCTCATGTGTGGAGTGCCCCAAGGCTCGATACGAGGCCCGGCCTTGTTTCCCTTAAACCTGTATTTTTTTGTATTACAAACGTGCTATATCAATAAGAATTTCCTAAACCCTCTTACTCTTTGTCATAATACTCTGCCTCATCCCTCTTCCTCACCCTTCTTCCTGCTCACCCTCTCAGTGATGTGGCGCTTCTATTCCTCGCCCTCCTTTTTTTGGACCATGGTCTTCCTCACTTTCCGAACGCCCGAGGAAGACAAGAGTGACATCACGGCGCGTGTGTGTCAGGTCGATGTCATCAGTGAAGTCTTTGACCTTTGAGGCTTCGCCGTGAAGACAAGTGAGCTCACTTCCAGTGTGACGGACGCATGTCCAGTCTACTCGCTCACTCACGCATCATCCGCCAAAAGCCTCGGGAACATACACATACACACACATGAAAACTTTCCATTCCCAGCTCGTCCTGTGAATAATAAAGATGAGCAAATGCTAAGGATGAACTAATGAACGCTTGCGTTCGCCAGACGTGATCGGCAGTTCATAAGGCGAACAGATAATGCTATCCTTCTATGCTACTCATCAAAGAGTGTGAAGCTCTCCCGCCAGCTAGTACAACAACACCTTGAAATATGAGTGACTCGACTTACAAGGCTTTTGAGGTATGACTTGACATAGAAAATTTCGATCATCATCATGCTAATAATAATGCAAGATGCAACAGACAGTCTAATGCTTAACACTGAAAGTTGAGGTTTTAGATACGGCATAACTTTGAACACAAATGGTGGCTACACTTAGCCAGACAAGAAAACAATACTCACAGGCATATATTCTTCATTCTCTACAAAAGGTTACTAATATTGCAGCATTTCACTGCAGGACTAGAAGATGTCACTTTTTCTTCATTGGTATCTGAATGACTGTACAGTATTGTACTGCCCCCCCCGGTGGTCAAGGTGGGCACACTTGACGGAAATCCCGACACAATTATTCATTTTATATTTCATCATGTCATTACTCTATGCTTTTATAGTGTATACAATATTACACCATAATGTTTTTTTTGTTTTTTTTTTTAATGCCGTAACGGATAATTTACATTTCTATTCATTTTGAGAAGGCAAGATGATTTCAATCGGTGTGGATGATTTGAGATGATTGTGGTCACAGAATGGATTGAAGTCATATCTCAAGGCACCACTGGATGCGCACACAAAAAGCAACAAAAATGCACATTTTGTGTTTGGATGGCTTCATAATAGAAGCCTTGTTTTAAAATTGTTGCATCATTTCTACTTAAAACGTTCTGAAGATGACCAAGCATATGAAGGATTTGCAGCCCCCCGGAGCATTTAAAAAGTACTTTAGGTCATCTGAGGCAACAAGTTGCCGACAACAGGCGAGAGAGCACCATCAGCATAAGCTCGGGGAGCTTCAGCATCTCCCACAATGCCTTGCGGTGGCCCGCGCCCGCTGGCGTGCCCGCCAGGACTGCTAATTCCCCGACAGGTGTGTGTGTGTGTGTGTGTGTGTGTGTGTGTGTGTGTGTGTGTCCAACTGTCACTGTATAAAGTACACAATTACACCACAACAACAGTGAAAACCAGAAAGCAACAACACCGTCCCGATATTCAAAAACAAGATAAAAATATATAACATATAACACACGCCCCAAATTATCTTCGTCCTCCTACTTGTCATCATCATCATCATCATCATCATCATCACATGTAATGTAAATAAGAAACGCAAACATTGATGTCGACGGTGCGAACAAAATGGAGGCGAGCATGACGCTGGCGACCCCATGGGCAAAGTTCGCCGACTGACGACGCAACGTGTCACCGCAGTGAAGGTCGTCGCTTCTCAAGCGTGGCGCTAAGACGACCTCGAGCGCAAACAAACCACAAAAAAGAAAAAAAAAGTGGTCATGTTTGGGTGCTGTGCAAATGTCACGCGTCACCTCCAAATGTCGAAGTTCGTGGCCGGCAATCACGCGAGTCGGCTGAAGAACGGCGAACGATTGTTTGTTCGCATCGCGGCTTGCGTGTGATGTTCATGATGTCATCACTGGCACCCCACAGTGCCTCCTATTGAAAAGAATTTGAACAAAGGCCTCAGATGAATGTGAACAGGTCACATGATGTCAAGTGAGTTCAGCCAATTACAAAGAGGAAGAAAGTCAGGAGTGGAAAAGACACGATGATAACAACATAAAGATTGCACAGATAGTCACAAGTGGACACAAATGGTGAATCTGCTAATATGTTAACATTCTCCAGCCAATGTAAAAATTAGAGCTCGGCATTATGAATCATTATCGGCAGGCTAAACAGTGAGCGTGGCGTCATGTCAGATAGCTTCCAATCGGTGATGTGGCACCTTCAGCGCAATGTGGCGAATGTGCACATCAACAAGAAAATTCCATTATGCTTATTGCTTAACGTATCCTTAAACATGTCTGCTATTTAACACCGCAGTTATGTTCCTACACATTTTAAAAAAATTAAGATGCGGAAAATAAATTTCAAACTGATGATGTGGAGGCACTAACACACTTGCATTTATTGAAAGACACTTTTTAAAGCATCGCTTAGCACGGATTGTCACTCTTCACATTGTTAGTTAATGCTAACACATCATGGGAAACACCGTACGCGTGCTAACAATTCATTGACATATGCGGCCGCTGAGGCATCGGATATTTAAACACAAATGGTTGAGCAACACATGTAGACAATATAACATTGCCAACAGGTGAATACAGTATTTGTCCTCTGCAAAGAAAGACGACCATTACTACTGAGTTATGACATGTCTTCTGTCTCATGTAGAACTCTAAGTCTGTACTACCAACAGGCGGCAAAGGCATGCACACCAAAACTGTGGATCGATACAGAATCACAATTAGCATATTTGTTAAAGATTAAACGAAATAATTCTGGCTCTTCAAATAAGTGCTGCTTATTACACACTCACATCAACACAGAAATAAAGCATCCAACAATTTTGAGCTATGACTGCAGATGGTGCTCATGGCTAGTCATGCTAGTGCTAATGACGAATGCATGGGTAGATTTGCCCTAGTCTATCAATATCAATGACTTGATCATATTCAACAAGCTCAGCTAAACTAAGAGGCTAACAACATACAATTGACACACAAAAGAATTCCAATACTCTTCAATCAACCAATCCCAGAGCTCTGCTTCGTTACATACAGTGATGTCATTGCGACTGTGTGCGTTTTTGTTATTTGTCTTTTGTGTCATTTGCATGATCTTGTCATTTGTGCATGTGGTTGTATGTATGTAAATATTGTGATTTTGGTATATGGGTTTCTTATACTCGTTAGTGCAATTTGTGTGCGTTTGTCATTCGTGTATCCAGTATTAGTGATGTCCTTTGAGTGTTGATTTCATTAAATGTGTGTGTGTGTGTGTGTGTGTGTGTGTGTGTGTGTGTGTGTGCGTGGCGTGCGTGCGGGGGTGCGTGCGTGGGTGTGTGTGTGTTTGTGTGTGTGTGTGCGTGATTGGCGTGCATATTTGTGTGTTTGATAGTGTCTATTTTGTGTGTTTGTTTTCAGAATGTGTGTATTTATTTGTGTTTGCGTGTTGCACACATGAGCAGTTCCTTTCTCGGCTGCACATTTATCATACAGAGCACACACACACACACACACACACACACACACACACACACACACACACACACACACACACACACACACACACACACGGTTGTGCAGACGGTTGTGTTGTACCTTTTTGTGTGAGCATGTCCATACTCTATCTCAGAATTCCTAGGCTTCTTCTTCTTGTTTAGGAATTCCGTGTAGCTTCAAAGCTCCGTGACCCGCATGCAGCCAGGTGTTTCTTCCAAATGGGAAAGGTGACATTGACAAGTCAGGACAAAAGAAAAAGGAAAAAAAAAGGTTTTATAAAATCGTGTTGGGGGAGAAAAAAAGGGGGGGGGCGATTTCTTAAGTCACCGTGCCCCCTAGTGGCAATTGGTGGGTCCTGAACTTTTTGATTAATTCGGCATTATGTAAATTAGATTTTATAAAGGAGACAGTGTGCATTTTTACCTCAACAATTTTAAAGAGTTCAACCAAAGATAAATTGAGTTGTTTAATTTAACACTTGACGGGGAGGAGGGCACGTGGGACATTTCAGATACTAGCTAACCAGCTATCCAACGACCAATGCCCAAAATTGGTCGCGTCCAGATGTTGGGGTTTTTTTCTCTCTCTTTTTGGTTTATACAACATGAGGGTTCTTCATTTTATTCCTCTTTTAACGAAGACAGTTCATTGCTTAAACATTCATTCTAACACAATTGGGGGCGGAAGTTACGTCAACAACTGTTTACAACAACTTAACGTGTACTTTCGCCGGTTTTTGGCAGCATAAAATACTTTAAATAGGAACATACCTTATCCGGCGTCGCCATATTTGGTTTGAAGTTCTTCGAATTTGGTGAGCAGCGTTTTGTTTGGGAGCGGCGCCATCTGGTGGACAATTGTTGAACGCTCATTCATGAGTGTGTGCGTGTGTGTGTGTGTGTGTGTGTGTGTGTGTGTCCTTTCTGAAAATATTGTGACTATTAGTGTGTGGTTTGTGTGTATGTGTCATTAGTGTCCTTTGTATAAGATGAATGTGTGTGTCATTAGTGTCATTTGTATGTATATGTGTGTGTGTGTGTGTGTGTGTGTGTGTGTGTGTGTTTGAGTTGTGACTGGGTTTCAATTTTGTGATTTGGTTTTGTCTTAAGTTAGTGTCATTTATTTGTGTGTGTCTGTGTCATGAGTGTGCTTTGTAATTGTATCATGAGTAATGAGTAGAGTATGTGCTATAATTTGTGTACAAATGTTTTGGGTGTTCGAATATTTTAAGTGTGTTTTTCGTCACTTTTGTGTTCATCGTGTGTGTCTGCGTCCTGAAAGACATGAAAAGACCCACAATAATCAACAAGCCAATAGCAACCCAAGCCACAACGAGATAAATAATTCATGTGAGTTTATTTGATTGACACAAAATCGAGTGTTTACCCTGTCAAGATCCGCAAAAATCAATTCGACTTAAAATGAAACCCAAGTCACATAGAAAGGACTACCGCGTGCAAACAAATTTGTCCGACTGCCACAAAATCATAAGACCATATTCACCATTATAAGACACAAAAATAATTAAAAAGCTTCGCTGCGAAACGCACTAGACCAGCTGTGTCAAACATACGGCCCGCGGGCCGGAACCGGCCCCCAAGGAGGTTCGATCCGGCCCGCGGGATCATTTAAAAGTAAAAAAAAAAAAATGCATTAAAGACACAGAATGAATATTTTAAATAAAATGCAATTCGTAGATTATCCGCTAGGGGGCACACTGTTTTGATCACAGTAGAACAGTGTTTTTCAAACTTTTTTGAGCCAAGGCACACTTCTTTCATTGGAAAAATCTCGCGGCACACCACTAGCTGAAAATGTGAAAAAAAAAAACGCTTATTTGAATAATTAATGTGTTATATTGTTACTATAAACGTTTTTAGCATTGAAGAATGACATTATAACAGCTTGAATTGGAATCAAATGAACACGAAGAAAAAAGTATTTTCACATCTTTCATATTTATTGTTTCACCGTCGTCCTGCATTCATGCATCACAAATTTGCTTGTCTCTCGTCTAAACACAAGGCAATTGGCTTGAAAAACACTGCAGTAGAAGACAACATTGTTTTGATTGGGGAAGAAAACAGCAGTCTCAGTCTGTCACGGAGATAGACCCAACGTAGCAAATGATATGAAAGCGCCAATCAATGTTTCTTGAGACCAAAACAAAGGAAAGAGATGATATTTTGGTGATTCATAGCACAGTATGGTATAATGTTAATGGTTCGGCCCACTTGACATCTACCGGGTCCGTATGTGGCCCACAATGTGAAATGAGTTTGACACCCCTGCACTAGACGCTGGATAGTTTGATTTAAAGGTGCCACTGACAAACGATCAAATTCTCCTCAATTTGGTTTGTTAGCAGTGTTTGTTTGGATCTGTTTTGCTCAATTAAATGGTGATGTGCTTTGATGTTTGTCATTATTTTCCCCTTTCAAGTGAACGCCAAACTCTTTTGGCTTTGACATCATGGCGAACACATGCAGATGTTTTTCCACCATGCTTCGACTTCACACGCACAGACAATCTCACTCGCCCTCAAAACACAAAGTCCACCGCATGGCCTACTCAAAAATAAAATGGTATTTACATTGCAACGGTATGTGCGATAACCAACCCGCTATCAGCCTGAGGTCACACGTTATTGTCACTTGCTCACATGGGACAGCTGTACAGATGTTCTGTCCAAGTCCAATGTCACACACGTTTTTAGTGGTTTTTTTTTAGGGGGGGGGGTGATGTTTCCACGACGACACATGCACGCCTTGCTTGTCAATTGCACCTGGGCTTCGGCAACCAATCAGATGTCAGATCCACGCGTGCTCAAGAGGGCCGCGACATGTGTGCTTAACATGTCAGGAAGCCAGAGGTGGCAAAAGTGCGAGCACTTTTACGGAAGGTGAAAAAAAAGGACGCGGCTCAAAGTAGAAGTACTCATTCAACTGCTTCACTGAAGTAAAAGTTGAAAAAATGTTTACAAAATGGATGCAACATCACGTGATTTTGATCGCAAATAAAAACGTCTTTGAAGACATTTCATTAGGTACACCCTCTACTTAAAAAATGTTGTCAGCTCATGTTATTTTTTTTTATATTACATCTTCCATTTTTTCATTTTTTAAAACATATTGATTCTTCTAATTCTTTTTTTCTAATTAAAAAAATAATGAATTAAAATACATCTGGCGTGGAGGGCGTTCTCTCCAGTGGCCCACCTGTCATGAGTTTCAACCGATGGACTGCTTCATAAGGCAAGGGTATCAAACACATTTTTTTCGTTGGCCATATTTTAGTTACCGTTTCCCTTGGAGGGCCGTTATGACTGAAACCATATCAAGAAGTCAAGTAACACGGTTTATTCAACTTTTGTTTCAGGTCAAGGTCAAGGTCATCTTTATTGTCAAATATGCTTTTTTTATAACATGCAGCACAGATGAAAAAAATCATTTGTCCATGTCTGCGTTTGTGGGATCATCCCCAAACCGGATTATTCCGGATCCTAACATCCTGTTGGCAAACCAAACAGCAATGGCAACAAGGGGGGGGAAAAAAGACTATGACTACGGTGTTATACAAGCAAATAAACGAAACCAAATGAGCAACTGTGAGCAATTAGATGCAGTATTTGCCCATGAGATTTTATATTTTTTATTTATTTTAATTTTTTTTAAGGACCTACTTTGACACCCTCACACACTCTATGCTCTACAAAAGTCATGGGACATTTTCAGGACATGAAGGAGATTTGGATAAAAGGTTTGGAGTGAAATATAAAAGTATTGAGATGCGTATAGGATGTGAAAAGAAAATATGCACAAAAGTATTGGGACACCTAAAGGATGGTGGGGGGGGGGCTAATTGGATGAAAGTATTGGAACAGCTACAGGAAGTAAAAAAAAAGAAGGGAAATGTGGACAAAAGTATTGGGACACATATATGAAGTCAAAAGTGAAGTAAATGTGGAAAAAAAGTCCAGTATTGGGATACATGCACGAAATGAAAATGGACAAACATATTGGTGCCAAGACAAGAAATGAATAGTAGAGACAATGTGAATTTTGGATAACAGAACGGTGGGACACAATCAACAAGTGAAGTAAATGTGTACAAAAGTATTGGGAAAGAAAATCAGCAAATTGTTGAATTTGGACAAAACATTTGGGACATAGGAAGTGAAATGTGAAGTTAAATGATAAAAAATATACTTATAAACATGAGGAAGTGAAAAGGTGAAGAAAATGGACAAAAGTAAGACACACACACGAAAGGAAAATTTGTTTTGTTTTTTTTTTCTTCATGTCATGTTGTTTTATATCCTCCTTCACGACGTGTCAGTATTTACTTTCCCGTACAGTATATGTACTATTTTTGCTGTTGTGATCTTTTGATGAACCCCGAGTTTTAAATAAACCACTGACTTGAATTACAGTACCAAATGTATTTGTGTGTGTGTGCGTGTGTGTGTGCGTGTGTGTGTGCGTGTGTGTGTGTGTGTGTGTGTGTGTGTGTGTGTGTGTGTATGTGTGTGTGTGTCTATAAATAGCAACATAGCATATCACAGTGCAGTGATTTATGTTAATAAGTTGGGGTGAGCAAGCTGCGAGATATGAGAGCCACGTTATGGCTGTCATCCGGGTAAAATGTCTACTGTTTGAAATTAGACCCCCACAAACAAATAAGTCATCTGAGGACTCCTGTAAGTGTTGTGAAACTCTCATATACATTAGCTAAATAGGTTGGTCAAAATATTTACACATCATGTTCACATTGTTTGGCGTAGAGTCAAAAAAGTTGATTATCAGTCTCGTGAAAGGAGGTCCAAACTTTTTCCTCTCAGTTCCACATACAGAAAAATCAAAGGATACGTGGGCCATTTTAACATTTTTACGACTTTGATTCGGTACACATGCCAAAATTTGTCAATTAAAGCAATTAAATATGGTTTACAACTGAAAGTTATTTTGAAAAACTGCCATTGTAAAATGGAATAAGACAAACATTTAAAGATTTTTCAAGCTATTGGGGTGGTCGGGTCCTGTTTCAGATTAGAATAGAGACACCTCTGCAGCGAACAGCACCTGAATCCCATTTTTACGTTCAAAACCAAAACAAGAGCAATCTGAAGTAAGCTAGCCATTTTTAAAGCAGTTACTCAGAGATCATTAATGCGGCAAGTTCACATGACACACCGTGACAGAGCAGAAAGTGGAAGAAACAATTTTTGCTTTTAAAAAATGAATTATCCTTGATGAAGAGAAGCATTATAGAATTTGAGTTGTAAATAGTTACAGTGAATCTTTGTCGAGCTCGGACGCAGACCCAAAATCTGCTTTCACAATTCGTGTTTACGTTAACAAGCGAGTATCCAATGAACTTGAATCAGTTACTTATTGTACCTTTTACCCAAAACAGCTTCATAGTCTGACAAATGAAAAATCCAGTTGGATCAAAATGGTTGCCGGTAAGAGGAGTGCTCTTAAGTAACACTTTATACACCACATGGCGCCCAAAGCGCTTTACAAAGCCTCATTCATTCACTTATATGAAGGCGTATCCTATGTATTGAACCAGATTGTACACTGGTGCGTTGAACAATATATTTATTTTATTTTCCTTTTCAGTTTAAAATAACTTACTTCCATCTCCAGGATCCCTTGTCGTACCCTGGCCATTGGTAGAATCCAGGATTTATTGTTTTTTTTTAGCCTCAGTCTCATAAATTAATCTGCATTGTCGAGGACCAGCTAGACACACTAGCTAGCTAGCTAACTAAATGACAGGACAGCAATGAAGTAACAAAGAAGTTGACACCCTGCCTAGTATATTCAACTATAGTTTAAGTTACTGTAATGAGGAGTTTGGTAACA